AGGGATGATGTGGGAAAGCAAATAAATGACAACTTAGAAATTTCAAGGCCAGGAGTTTTTAAGACTGAGCTAAATAAATTATTGAGAGGAGCTGAGGAGTGCAATGTTGTAGAGCTTGTTACTGAAAATATTTTTCTAGAATTATGTTACTAAAGAAAATGTAAAAATATCTTTTGTTCACCTTGTAAACACTGGTCATTATTTTGTGTGTTTGTGTGTATGTATCATGGGTAAGATTTTTATTCCCTACAGAGTGTGTAGGAAAAGCTTATTAAAGGAGCTCTACTGACCTTAGATTAATATTAAGTCAAGCTCTCTGGTTAGGCGAGTAGTGTGCAAAAAATGAACTGTCATCTCTGCAATCATATTTCATACTTACAACTGTTTGTAAGTTAGTAATTTGTAAGAATTGTATTTGTTAGTATTTTTCACTCACCACTCTAAGGAAATTTGTTTCTATGGAAAGTACCTTCGTTGTTATGGTAGGAGTCAGTAGGTAGATTGGACCATAGATGGATGAATGCTCCTATTTTTCTACTTAAACTTTTTAAATTCACTTTCATTATTTTAAATGAAATTTTGTCTGTCTAAAATAACATTTTCCTCTAATAAAACATCTCTGTGAATTTCAGACTCCATTGAGGTATACAAAGACATTGCTGCTTCCTGTGGTTCTTGTAGTATTTATTGCAATTGTTAGAAAGGTATGTTTATCACTTGTGAGCTCTTTCTTGTAATAAAACATGTTCTTGTTTTTACATAGTTACATGTCCTTACACTTAGCTCAGTGTTAATATGATCCGATTTCTTACATGGGTTTAATAAAACATATTCTGTGTTTTCTTACTCATAGCTTTTGATCCACAGTTATAAGCCTTTAAAATGTTCTGCTATCTGCTAGTATAAACTAGATACAGGAAAGGATGGCTCAGATATTGATAGTGATGTTATTTGAGAAGAAACAGTTAAAGAGACTCTGTTCTCCCAGATACAACTTGCTTTGCCTGTGTCAGTCATTACTGACTTGTTTTTAATATTTATATATTGTTTCTTCTTTTTTAATCTTTTTAAAAATTAAAAAAAATTTACTGTCTCTTTAAAATATTTAACATATGCCTTTCTAAGTGATTTTGTACAGTATCCACTAACTCCTGGGTGATATTTATCAAAAGGAAAAATGGATTATTAATGATAGTATTAATAAACTAGATAAAATAAAATGTTTAGACTCCTAACTTGGCTTTAATAATGAAATTCTAAACCCAGATGTTCATAGGCCAGAGAATCTTCAATCTTTAATGAGAAAGAGCAGGTATGATATTCTCTGTTTTTTAAGGTAATCAATTGAAATTAATCTGTGATCAAATAAGAAATGTTAGACTCTGAAAGTTTTCTGATTTGTAATTAGTGATTTCTATGTTAATACAATGTCATGCATTTGTAGAATTTTCTACACTGTAATTTTCATTCATGTTATATATTTATATTGTGTTTATACCCTCCCAAAATCTTTTCACTTGTGTTATTTCAGTTGGTTATTTGACAGTCCTTTAGAGTAGACAGATAGTATCATCTCCATTTGATGGATGCAGAATTGGAAGATCAAAGAGGTTGTTTCCAGCCTCACATTTTGTCCATTAAAAAGGAAGAGAATTCTGCTATGCATATTTTCAACAACAAAAAAATTAATTATTTTTAAAAAGCAGCAAGAGGAGAGCAAGAACCAGAGTTGGCATCTTACCCCCACATTGGACATTGTATGTATTCAGCCTTGTATTCCCACAGAACTTTCAACTCCAGTCAGCACATATGTAGTCAGTTCCTCCTGCATGCCAGACCCCACACTTTATTTGCACTTTTGCTTTGCCTACTTTGTCTAGGTGTGCACCTAGTAGGTACTCAGACATTAGACATTGGCAGTCTAGAATGTGTACAGAAAAAGCCACCTGGATGGCTAGAGATGATCAGATTCAAGAAGCTGGGATGTTTTATGTAAAGAAGAAAAGATTCCAACAGAAAGAGGATAATTGTTTTCAAATATTTTAAAGCCTGTCGCTTGAAATAAGATTACTCATTCTCATTCCTTAGATAGATGTAGGGCGAGTTCTAGGAGATAGGACTTTTGACCATAGCTGTCCGAAGTTGGGAAGGACCGACTGGGAAAGTGTTAGAGATTCAAGTAACGGCTGGATGGTTTTTCAAGGCTGAATTAAAACCTGTCAGAAACATTGTAGAGAATGTCCATGCTGTGGATAGGATTTCAGATTAGATGACCTCTCAGTTCCTGCTGAATATGAAAACGTAGTGAGTGTGTTTCAAATACTTAAACAGCAGTGATTTTTCAGTCTCTGAGCCAGTTTTCCAGTTTTGTGTGTATATAGTTAAGGAGATGCAGTGCCAACAACCCTGGCTTGGTGGGAAGGAGTGCTGAATGTGAATTTGAAGCCGGAAGATGTGATTTCAGGACCCAGCAGTGCTTTCTTGGTAGTTGTCCATTTGAGCCTGTTTGCTTATCTGCAAAGAAGATTAAAAAAAAAAAAATCTGCCTTACAGTTTCCTTGGGTATTAAATTAGATATGATCAAACACTGTATAAATATAAGATTATGTTGTTATAAGTATTTTCTGAGTTATGTCAAATCTCCAAATACTTCTCAGATTTCTAATTAAAAGTTTTAGTTCAGTTAAAATTTTATATTTCTCAAAACTGCTATTCTAAAGTTTTTAAAAATCTGTTTACAGATTATTAGTGATATGCGGAGTGCCTTAGCTAAACAACAAACACATATAAGGTAAATATACTGTTAATAATCTTTATCAACTCCTGTATTAATCTGTTAAATAGGTATTTACAGTGCATTTATTTCATAGTTACATGTTGCGCACTCAGCATTTGATAATTGATGTTTTTGGTTGTCATTCCCCTTCTTTGCCTTTCTCATTGTTCCCTGTCTCTGCAGAGCACAGTGCATCACTTATTCCTACCCCAGTCTCCTCCAGCACAATCTGACAGTAGTCCTGTGCATAGTTGACACTTGAAGGACACAGCTTCATTCCTCAATTCACCAGGGAAAATGTATTCTTTGACTGATTTTAGGATCAATGGACTGCCTATTTTAGAGAAGGACAGGAAATATAAAGCTGTACCTAGACCTTACTTTATATACAAAATAAACTCCAGATGGATCAAAAATTTAAATATAAAAAAATGAAACCCAGGAGTATATTTTTATAATCTTATTTTAAGATAGATGACATAAAACCCATAAGCTAGAAGGAAGGATTGATAAAGTTGACGTGTTAAACAAACACTTTTGTTTGGTAAAAGATATAGTAAGTGTTGTTGGGGGAGGGGAGGACAAATTCATATTGGAGGAAATATTTGCAATGTATGACAAAGGATTAATATCTGTCATATAAAAATCTCCTACAAATTTATTTTAAAAATGCTTAAAGCCCATTAGAAAAATGAGTGAAGCACACAAAGAGGCATTTCAGAGAACAGGAAGTTCACATTTTCTCTTCCCCACCATATAGCATGTCCCATCGGGCCCCTTTCTGTTCTCTAACCATGGAAAATGGTGTCCTGCCTCTGGAACTTTGTAGGGGTTGTTGTCTATGCCCATTATTGCATCTCTCTTCCCCTAGCCTGGGTTTCTACACAATTAACTCTTTTACTCCTTGGCTTTTAAATGTCACCTTCGTCAAGACCCTTTTCCTGACCATCATTTCAGAGTAGATTCCTTGTCCCTTTCCTCACTGTTCTCTACCTTCACACCCTCTACCTTCCTGTCTCAGCATTTGTCATCATTTGCACTGATTTATTTGTTACCTGTATCTCCCGAGGGAGGGGTCATTTCTGTTCAATTCAACAGTTTATACTCAGTGACGGGCACATAGCAAAGAAATAGTAGTCAAATGAGTGAAGACATACAAATGACTAATGGACATGTGGAAAGGTGCTCAATTCTACAATAAAGAAATTTCATAATAGAGCAAAAACCTTTTTATTTATTTGTAAAGATTAAACAGATTAATTATATCCAGTGCTTCCAAAGGTGGGAGGAATGAGGTGGAAGAATGGTTTGACCATACCTAGCAGAACATACAGTGGGTCTGCCCTTTAACCCAGCAGTTCCACCGATGCAAATGTATCCTGTAGGAATGCTCATGGGAATGCAGAGATCATGTAAAAGATGACCACTGTGATATTGCTTGTCATGTGAAAAATGGAAACAACCAAATTGTTCATTAGTAAGGGATTTGTTTAATTATGACCTGATCATAGAGTGAAATGCTAGGCCATCTTTATGGAAATATTTGCATCATACATTATTGAGTTAAAAAAAATCACAAAATATTATATATAATTATACCTTTGTTTAAAATATGGAGATTTTGTATGTTTGTGTATAAGAGGCTGTTGGGAGGATAAAACCCTTAGCTATTAGAAATGTAAGATTAAAGGATGGAACGAAAGAAATTTTAATTCTAGTTTCATTGTTTTGTGAGATTTTTTAGGGAGTAGTTATTGTTGAATTCATGTGTGTCTAAGCTTTCTCTTATAACTTGGAAATACATGGCCTTACATTCTCACATCTAAATCTCTACCAGCTCAATAATAATTTATTGCGTATTCTCCTGAGGGCATCCTTATTCTCATTTAGAAACAATTTGCTCTCACAGTGCCCTTACTTATACCTGAAGCATTTGGGTTGAGGGCTCGGGACATGGAAAAGGTTCTGGTATATAGTGCCAACATTTCTCTTGATTTGAGGCAAAATTGTTTCTGAAGACCTTGGGAAGGAGATACAAAGGTACAGTATGCAGCTCTGGAAGACAAAAGTGGAAGTTTTCACAGAAACAAAGCAGCACTTTCTAAGAATAACTGAACTGTAGAAATAATTAAATAATTATAGAAAACCATTGAGCTTCTTGGGATTCAATTCAGATAGGATCAGAATTTTTTTTTTTTTTGGAACAGTAGTGACACATTGACATATTTCATGTAAGTACAAAGTCATAGGTCAGTATAGAAAGAAAAGGAGAACGATCAAGTGACACACTGACACATTTACAAAAATATTAAGATGAGAATACCAAACAACAAACCCGTTGCGATCGAATCGATTCCGACTCATAGCGACCCTAAAGGACAGAGTAGAACTGCCCCATGGGGTTTCCAAGGAGCACCTGGCGGATTTGAACTGCTTACCTTTTGGTTACCTTTTAACCACTACACCACCAGGGTTTCCATGAGAGTACCAGTATCCCCTTTATTCAGGACTTTGCCACTTAGTAGCTGTGTGACACTTTTGTAGGCTGTAAATTGAGATAATAAATGATTCTGAGATCAGAGTTAATAGGAATTACTGAGGTTATTAGCATTGTAGGTGCTTAATAAATGGTAACTCTGGTAATTTTTATTTTAGCCAGAGAGAAGAATAAAGAAGGATTCATTTCACCTCTTTTGTTTGCTGCATTATTTTACTGAGTTTCCTAATGTATTTTTGAAGCCAGATTTCCCAAATCAGATGTGTACTCCTGAGTTAGGGGTTTATTGAGTCATTCATTCATTTATAATTATAAATTAATATATAATAATTATAAATGAATGAATGAATTGAGCTCTATGTGCCAAGCCTTTTTCTAGGCCTTGGGAATATATCAGTGCTTAAGATAGAGAAAAGGAGCCCAGATGGTGCAGTGGTTAAGTGCTTGGCTGCTAACCAAAAGGTTGGCGGTTTGAACCTACCAGGAAAGATGTGACAATCTGCTTCCATAAAGATTACAGCCTTGGAAACCTTGTGAGGCAGTTCTACTCTGTCCTGTAAGATTGCTATGAGTCAGAATTGACTCCACGGCAATGGGTTTAAGATAGAGAAGGTATGTTATTGACTCACGTGGTTTCTACCTCTAGCCCAAACCTCTCATTTGATCTTCAAATTTACATGCTTATCTACTTATTTATCCTATCTACTTGGGTGTCTGATGATATCTTAGTCATATAGTGCTGCTATAACAGAAATACCACAAGTGGATAGCTTTAACAAAGAGAAATTTATTCTCTCATAGTCCAGTAGGCTACAAGTCCAAATTCAGGGCATCAACTCCAGGGGAAGGCTTTCTCGGTCGACTCTGGAGGAAGGTCCATGTCATCAATCTTACGCTAGTCTGGGAGCTTCTCAGTACAGGAACCTCAGGTCCAAAGGACACGCTCTGCTCCCGGCACTGCTTTCTTGGTGGTGTGAGGTCCCCGTGTCTCTCTCGTTGGCTTCTCTCTTCTATATCTCAGAAGAGATTGGCTTAAGACACTATCTAATCCTGTATGTCTCATCAATATTACTGCTGCTAATCCATCTTATTACATTATAGTGATAGCATTTACAACACATAGGGAAATCACATCAGATGATAAAATGGTAGACAATCATACAATACTGGGAATCATGACCTAGCCAAATTGACAGATACTTTTGGGGGACACAATTCAATCCATGACAGATGAGAATCTCAAATTTTATAAAATCGAGCCTCTGATTGTGCACCCTCTGCCAAAATGCTTCTCATGCATCCTCCCAATCTCTCATAGCAACTCCATTTTTCTGGTTGCTCAGCTCAAAAATCTTGGCATCATTCTTGACTCTGCTGTTTCACATCCTACAGCCAATCCACCCACATATCCTTCAGCATTCAGAAATATAGTTACAATTTGTCTACCACTTACCCCCTCTATCCTCGTCCTTATCGCACTGTCTCTCCTGGATTATTGCAGGAACCTCCTAACAGAGCTCACCGCTCGTAGCCTTCCTCCCCTAGTCTGTCCTCTACAACAGTGAAGTGATCCATTGAAAATAGAAGTCAGATCATATCACTCCTCTGTCCCAATAGTTTTCGAAATCACTCAGGAAAAATCGAAGTCCTTATTGTGACCACAGGGCCCTGCATCCTCTAGTCCCTTGTCATCTCTGGTCTCCCCTCCAACCCCCCGATCACCTCCTTGTGGTTAGCCCAACTTTTGCATCCTCTCTTCCCTCTGCCTAAAATGCTCTTCCTGGGAATCCTCAGAGCTCCCTCTCTCAGCTCCTTCAGATCTTGCTCAAGTATCATTTGATCAGGGACCACACTGATTAATACATGTCTTCCCATCACCTGCAGTCTTTTACCAGCTTCATTTTTCTCCACAGCATTTATCACCATGTGACATAGGATGTGCTTATTTATTTGCATTCAACTTACATGTGAGCTTTGTGAGGGCAAGGACTTTTCCTACCTTGTTTATTGATATATTCCCAGGGTTTTTAGGTGGAGGGATGGATTTGTATCTGTTACTTCTAAGGGGTTAATTTTAGTAGAGAGAGACAGATGCTAATCAAGTAAACCAATAAGTGAGAATTTTCTTTTCTATGAGAAAAGAGAGAAATGGAGTAGAGAGAAGGGGGACTGAAGGCAAGATAGTCAAAGGCCCCTCTGATGTCGTAAGGAACAAAGTCTAGTGTGACTGGAGCATCAGTGGTCAAGAAGAGTGAGGGTGGTAGGAGGTGAGTTCCAAGGGTGGGAAGTCGGGACCAGCTTAGGAAGACCATGTGTACCGTGGTGAGAAGTTTAGAGTTTATTCTCATTGCAAAGGGAACCCACTGGAGTAGATTTTTTAAGTAAGGGAGTGACACCATCAGCTTCTCATTTTCAAAATTGCCCTCATTGCTACGATGGGACTCGCCTGTAGGGGGCAGGAGTGAGATATGGGAGGATATGTAGACCTCTAAACAGGAGTCCCTCTACAAAGTAAAGAAACCAAGCAAAACTAAATGTAGGATGTTGTGACTGTTTGTATATTGCAGAGCTGAAGATGAAAATTCTTATGTGTTGGCATCCCTAGCCCTAAATTGTCTATTGCAGTAGTTGTGGGAGAGCTGAGGGGACGTGGGGAGTAGGAAGCAGGGGTATGGCACTGTGAAGGCTCTCAAAATTCCTCTCCAGTCCCAGCTTTGCCAGGATATCACCAGTGAAGTATTTGATAGGCACTATGTCTTCTGTTGGCCTCATTAATATCCATGTAGGCAAATATTCAGGATTTTACAACATTGTCTTTTAAAAAATAAGCTGTCTTAAATGACTGTATCACCAATTTGGGTCTATGCCTCTTAGTTGTTTTGATTTACATATATATGTCCTGAGGGAATATTTTAGAAATTGTCAAACTCATATTCCTAAGATAAAAATGCAAGTAAATGAACTAAGTTCTTCAATAATGATTCAATAGTACTTTTTTTGTTTTGTTTTTTCCTATTCCAGAAAGCACCAATTTGATCATGGAGAGGTAAAGACTTAACATACTGAAATTTTACTGATTTTAATGTTAATATATTTGGGCTTTGCTTTCTAGTTCCAGCTTCTAAGTTTATTGGCAGTTGTTACTGATCATCTTCAAAATACTTGTAGTATTTTTTTTGAGAATGCTGTGTGCAGAGTCACTGACCATTCATTTGTTAAAACAGTTATTAAGTAGGAGATGCATCTTCTCTGCTTTGGTGATCCCTACTGTAATAGCAGTTTCTTTCTGGAGCCCCATATATTTGTATGTGAGGAGTGCCTTTTGTGATTTGAAATCACTTTCCTCTGGCTCACTTTACCCAGAGGCCTTGGAGATGTGACTGGGTGTTGCTCCCAACTCCTCACAATCAGCCTAGGTTTTAATGGCAGTTCCAAGGTGGCGCTCCAGGATCTTGAAGCACCAGTTGTTTCTGTTTACCACTTTCCTGATTTGATCTGATGGTAGCGCCAGGGTAGACTCAGAAAAGTGGGCTTTGTTAACCACAGGCTTGACCCTCAGCAGAATTACAGAGAAGTTTGCCTTAGTGGCTTGATAATTTTAGCCATCTATTAAAATAAAGTGGCTTGATAGTGATTTTTAAAAATTGTTTTAGAAATTTCAGGCATTAAAGTAGTATTAATTTTTGCTGCTAAGAGAAAAGTACCCTTTTCTTTATATTTGTGTTTAGCAGTATTTTCTTAAACTTCACGAACGGGAGTAACAAACATTTTCTCTCTTTCTGTCTGTCCCTCTCAGCTGGTCTATCATGCACTGCAACTGCTAGCGTACGCAGCCCTGGGCATTCTGATTATGAGACTAAAACTCTTCCTGACCCCACACATGTGTGTGACGGCTTCCTTGATCTGCTCAAGACAGGTAAGACGTTTGTTACTTGAGAGTTATAGCTACTGTGATGGTTTTACTCTAGCTGTTGTTATTGAATGGCCCTAAAATAATACTGACTTGCCCAAAGTTCTTTAGATCCCTCTAGGTAAATTATAAATAAATTCTTCATGGCTTTATACTCATCTTTCCTAAAGGTTAAGGGCCAAATCTGATAAAATAGTCTTTGGTATACAACAAGCACCACATCAGTGCCGGCTGAGTTCATGAGTGATTGCTGCAGGTGCTGATAGAAAGCAGTGCTTAATTGTAGAAATATTTTTTTGTTTTGTTTTGACACTCATATTACAAAGAATTCTAACAATTGATTTCACGTTACAGATCCTTTCAAATTAAATGTTCTTTTTCAGTATCAAGCTTTTTCAAAGAATGTGTTTCATTTTTTGAATGTACATTTGTGTGCATACCCCTGACTTATACTTTTTTAAATGTAGTTAAAACCATGTTTTCCTGGATAACTGCCTCCTTGCTCTGTACTCACATATTTATGTATCTCCATATTGTCACCTTCCCATCAACAAAACAGCCACAGTGCAATAGCAATACTCCTTTTAAATTTAGAAAATAGATGGGAGTAGAGTGGTGGATAGAAAAATGAAAAACTAAAGGGTGTATGTCTTTAAAGAGCTTGAAATCTAGCTCTACAGACATGTAGAGAAAAACAGTAAGGGGAGAACAATAGGGACAAAGTGTTATTATTGAATATGGACTGTTTGAATATGGAAAAAGTTAGCCAGCCTCAAGGTGTTCCCAGTCAGAATGTTGCTATTATGGTAGAGAGCCATGACTTTCCAAAGGCTGACCTGGGATGGGGCCACTGTTCCTGACTCTCCACGCTGGGCCAGGAATGGCGACTGGTTGGAACATTCTTATCTTAAACTCCATCTCTATTATCTGTGTGACTGATAATAGAGAATCTTACCCCGGGGGCTGGCTTCCTGGGCATGTGACTTGGCAGTCTCACAGGGCCCTGCACTCAAGAAGGTCCCACACTTTGTTTAATGCTCTACTGTTGTGTCTTTAAAACTCTTAGTAATTTATAAACAAGGGGCCCCACATTTTCATTTTGCATTGTGTGCCTCAAATTATGCAGATGGTCTGGCCTTACCTGAGTCTAGGATGGAGAGAGCAGGTTGAAAAAAGAGCTTCTTAAATCATGTCTCACCCATATATGGCTGATGGTAGAATTCTTTTGTTCCTAAGGTCACTGTTTCTGGATAATTATCTTAGGGTAATTACTTTCTTATCAGGGACTAGAGCAGAGGCCATGTTCTTCTCTGGAAAGAGGGTTTGACAGCTCATTGGATACCTGTTGCTTTATACTAACAGTTGCCCATGCATTCTTAATTTGGTTTCAGCTGTTTGGATGGCTCTTTTGCAAAGCACATCCTGGTGCTGTTGTTTTTGCTGTATTAGCAGCAATGTCAATACAAGGTTCAGCAAATCTACAAACCCAGTGGAATATCGTTGGGGAGTTCAGCAATTTGCCACAAGAAGAACTTATAGAATGGATCAAATATAGTACTAAACCAGGTAAAAACATTATTAAATAAAGCTAGTGTTTTCCCCACAATTTATATACCATCACAGAATCCTAAATCCAGGCTACTTTCAGCTTCCGAAGCAGTGCTGCTTCTAAAAAGTGAGATATCAATCTTACTAAATTGGTTTGCAGGGGAAATGCTACACATTTTCATAGTAACTTATTCTGTTGTTTTCCATAAATTCTAGCTTTTTCAAAACTCATCCAAATTTACACATGCCACATTTAAAAATAACTTTTGTTATGCTTTTTTCCTAATGAATTTTTAATTTTATGTCCTTCGCATTCCTTCTTGAAATGAACTCATGGACTGTTAACTCATTCACGTACAGAAAAGGGAGCCCTTGTTGTCATCAGAGTATCAGTTGAAAGATTGAATGTTTGATCATCTTCAGAATTTTTTGGAACTACAAAACTTTTCTAGTTAATTTGATATGTCTTTCCTAGAATCAGGAAAGATTTCTAAGATATTTGTTTAAAAAAAGAAAGAAAAGTAGCCCCTAATGATAACGATGAGGCTCTATTTTCCAAGGAAAATATCTTACTCAAGCCTCTGTGCTAGCCACAGCTGTATCATCCATTGGCTTCATTCTGGTTCTGCCAGTGAATCTTTGAGTCATTAATCTCTCTGGGCCTCAGCTTCTTCATCTGTGAAGTACTTGGGTTGAACTGGAAGGAGACTCCTTGAACTCTCAAGAGTGTTTTCCTGAGAACTTCCTTCTTGTCTCCCAGACGCGGTGTTTGCAGGAGCCATGCCCACGATGGCAAGTGTTAAACTCTCTGCTCTCCGGCCCGTTGTGAATCACCCACATTATGAAGATGCAGGGCTGAGGTTAGTACACAGTTTTCATGTTGTTAAAAACAAATTTCTCATACAGTAGATAGTGAGTGAGGGGACAAGCAGAATAACAAGTATTTCAGAAAGGACTAATGAGCCGAGATTGAGAGAGTAGTAGAGAGAAATGCTGGAAGAAGACTGCTAAATTACACAAACTGTTTGAAGCGCCACAGGGCAACACAACTCCAAACTTTAAAATTATCTCCTCTACCGGGCCGGAAGGTGAAATTATACTTTGTTAGTTTTCTACAGGTTAACAAGGCTTCAAAACATGTAGGTCCTTATTAGTTAGAGTTCTGTCCCCTAGAGCAGGTGTAAATGGATTGGCAGGCATCCTCATTAAAAACCTACTGCATGAGATGAAAGAATCAAACCACCATCTTTGCCTTTTCCAATTTGGGATAGTTTATTCTTTTACAATCTCTTCTTTTGGTCATTTTCTATCCCAAAGGTGTGGGTTTGGCCAAATCAATCTTGTGATTTAGTATTATTAATTTGAAGTTGTTATTTGGCCTCTTATTTACCTAGGTGGCTCTGAGTCCCTGTGTGTCAGAATCGACTCAACAGCAATGCGTGGTGGGTGATTAATACCTAGTTACCTATTAATAATAAGCATCTGTTTACCTAGGTGCCTATTATTACCTGTTAATGCCTCTATAAGAAAAAAAAAAAGCTTATAGCTTAGTCTAGGAGTAAACTTTTCTCTGGACTCAGGCTTTCTAAAGTCTCTACAGACACATACACACACACACACACACACACACATAGATATAGATATAGGTATATATTTGTCTGGCAGGGCTGTCAATTCTGTTTTGACGGAAATATTTTATTGCCTCTATCAATTTGTTTATTCCAAGATTAGCAACCAAGAACCATACCAAGATTTTGCCTGCAGTGCTTGTAACTGTGGGAGTATCTCACTTTCTCTGCGATTTCCAAAGCTTGCCACTGTACTTGACCTACCAGGAAGTGACATTGTTGACCACCTGTACAACCGGAAATCTGTAAACCATAGAGCAGGTGCCAGACCAGTGTCCTGGGAGAACTTTGTGGACCATTTCCACGCATGGGATCCAGTGCTTATTCCTTAATAGTGAGGATTGTCAAAAAGAACTAAATGAGATTTACCACTAAATGTGACTTTGCTTAAATATAGCCTGGTAGGAAAATGGGTAGATTCTTATTAAACTTTTGGAAATAACTATATTGCTACAAAAAGTAAAGGCACTCAGTAAAGGGGCTTTGTGAAATATTGGTTGTTGCTCTTTTCTTTGTAGAAAGACCAGTAGATATTTGTCATATTGTCTGTGGAATTGTCATATATTTCTCAGTAGTGCTATCTTCCAGAAGTTTTGACTGTTTTAGGTATATGGCAATTAGAGTAAAATTAACTCATTGTAAAAATGTATATCTGACTTCCAATTGCTAGGATCATCATCACCCTTAAGTCCCCCTGAAAATTCATTAGCTTATAGCTTTTATTAAGGTTTTCCTATAGGCTATTTTCGTTGAATTCTGAGGATTTAGTTGAAAGAGAATCTCATTCAAAGAGTGTTTTATTCTGGTTTCAGCAATATCGCTTCCTAGATGAGGGTTAGGGATGGGTCAAGAAGAGAGGAAAAGACTTCTTCATATGCCCATCAGAAAAATAGAACTTTAGAAACATTTCCAACAGTATTCCAGAGCCGATAGCCACAGTTGAATTTCTCCCGTGAGTTTCACTCAGGCCACCTTGTTTTCTCTCATCCTTGACTGAGAGTTGTCTTTTACAAATGCCTCGAAATTGTCTGGTAGTCTTCTAAGTGTGTACTTGTGGAGGTGATGTCTACCTATAGGGAAGCCTGTTCTCAGACTCTGTTCCCAGCGTTATCAGTAGTCAGGAGGGAGGACTTGATGCAGTCCTTCTGATTTTTTTTTTTTTTAAGACTCAATTTTTGTGGCCTGTGGCTTACAGCAGAGATCTTTAGCCATATATGAGAGGACAACAGAAAACACTTTTTGATGGATAAGACTGAATGCCTCTGGTTAGTTTATTCTAGTAACCACCAATATTACAATGGAGGAGAATGGAATCCTCTCTTAGAGTATGATTGACCCATCTTGAAAGGTATTCAGTCCTGAAATACAGTCATATAATAACACTGTATCTTTACATGATTAACCTGGAGTGGATTGAACTTTTCTTTTTGACTTGGCAGATTTTTCTGTATTTGAAGCTTGTGTCTTGTAGTGGTTATAAAAGGAAAGATCAGATCTTTGATGCTACCTAGTGGCTGAATTGCAAGTGCTAAAAATTATTTGGATATCAAAAAATATCTTGTCAGTTTTATGTCTCTGAATCTCTAACCTCAGAGAAAATCATTATCAAGAGTTGTCATTGAAGACTTGTCATCAGATTACAATAAGAACCTATGTTCTTTGTTTGAGAACAAAGAGTGCTTGTAGCTTGGGCTACAACCCAAAGTGTAAAATGAATGTCCAAAAGCGCATACTGATGTAAATAAATGATTAAATTAATAAATAACTGGGGAAGAAGAGACAAATCTCCCATGCTGAATTCCAAAAAATTTATGTCCATACTTTGCTCTCATGGAGGTGGAACATAACTCATACCCCTAAGTGTGGACTGGATATAACAGCGTCTTTCCAAAAAGTACATTATGAAAAAGGGGTATAAAGAGTAACTTCACAGCAGAGAAACCTGACAAATGCGACCTCAGCCAGGTGATCAAGGTTAACATCAACAGCAATAAGTCATGTTGATAACATATGCCTTTCATATGATGTGATGAGAGTGGCACTTTACCTGTGTTCTCTTTGCCCAAAGCCAATAACCCCATTCTAATCATGAGAAAAACCTTCGACAAATCCCAATTGAGAATTGATAAACAAAATGTGGTATATCCATACAATGGAATATTATTTACCCGTAAAAAGGAATGAAGTACTGATATATGCTAAAACATGGACGAATCTTGAAAACACTATGCTAAGTGAAATAAGCCAGTCACAAAAAGGCAGATATTGTATGGTTCCATTTATTTAAATGACCAGAATAGGCAAATTCATAGAGACAGGAAGCAGAGGGGGGTTGCCAGAGGCTGAGGGAGAAGTGGAATAGGGAGTGACTGCTTAATGGGTAAGGGGTTTCTTTTTGGGGATGATATAAATGGCATGGAGCCATGGTGGCGTAGTGGTTAAGCATTCAGCTACTAACTAAACGGTTGGCAGTTTGAATCCAACAGCTGCTCCTTGGAAACCCTATGGGGCAGTTCTGTTCTGTCCTGTAGGGTGGCTATGAGTCAGAATCCACTCGATGGCAACGGGTTTTTAATTAATGGTGTGGAATTAGATGGTGGTTATAGTTGTATAACATTGTGAATATACAAAAAAAAATCATTGAATTGCACACTTTAATAATAGTTAAAATGGTGAATTTTATCTCAATTTAAAAATCTGTTTTTTTTTTACTTTTTTTTTTTTTACTTGTTGTAATTAAATGAAGTTTACATTTCAAGTTAGTCTCCCATACAAGTTTTTTTTTTTTCACATACATTGTTAAGAGACCCCAACCGCTCACCCCATTCTGCGACAGCACACTCCTCACCTCCGCCCGATTCCCCGTGAACATTCAACCAGCTCCTAACTCTCTCTGCCTTCCCGTCTCACCTCTGGACAGAAGCTGCCCCTTTGGTCTCTTGTATCTACTTGACTAAGAGGCACATTCTTCACGAGTATCACTTTATGTCCCACAGTCCAGTCCAATCCCTGTCTGAAGAGTTGGCCTCGGAAATTGTTTTAGCTCTGGGGTGATAGAGAGTCCAGGGGCCATGCTCTCCGGGGCGCCTCCAGTCTCAGTCAGACCGTTAAGTCTGGTCTTCTTACTAGAATTTGAGTTCTGCATCCCATAATTCTACTGCTCCATCAGGGACCCTCTGTTTGTTCCCTGTCAGGACGTTCATTGGTGGTAGCCGGGCACCATCTAGTTCTTCTGGTCTCAGGATGATGAAGTCTGGTTTATGTGGCCCGTTCTGTCTCTTGGGCTAGTACTTTCCTTTTGTCTTTGGTATTCTTTGTTCTCCTTTACTCCAAGTGGTTGGGACCAATTGATGCATCTTAGATGGCCGCTTGCAAACTTTTAAGAGCCCAGACGCCACTCACCAAAGTAGAATGCAGAACGTTTTCTCAATAAGCTTCGTTATGCCAGTTGATATAGAAGTCCCCTGAAAGCATGGTACCCAGACCCCCTATCCCTGCTGCTGTGTCTCTCAGTTATTTTATTGTACTGAGGAAACTTCTTAGCTCTGGTTTAGTCCAGTTATGCTGGCTTCCCCTATAGTGTGTGCTGTCCTTCCCTTCACCTAAGATGATTCTTACCTACTATCTAGTTAGTGGATAACCTTTACCCTCCCTTCCCACCCCGGTAACCATCAAAGAACGTTTTCTTCTGTGTTTAAACCTTTTCTTGAGTTCTTATAATAGTGGTCTTATACAGTATTTGTCCGTCTGCGACTGACTAAATTCACTCAGCATAATAAGTTCCAGCTTCCACCAAGTTATATGATGTTTCACAGCTTCATCATTGTTCTTTATCGTTGCATAATATTCCATTGTGTGGATATACCGTAGTTTGTTTATCCATTCGTCCATTGATGGGCACCTAGGTGGCTTCCATCTTTTTGCTATTGTGAACAGTGCTGCAGTGAACATGGGTGTGTGTATATCTATTCATGTGACGGCTCTTGTTTCTCTAGGATATATTCCAAGGAGGAGGATAGCTGGATCGTATGGTACTTCTATTTCTAGCTTTTTAAGGAAGTGACTAATCGATTTCCAAAGTGGTTGTACCATTTTACATTCCCAACAACAGTGTATAAGTGTTCCAGTCTCTCCACAACCTCTCCAGATATTCAGATATCCTGAGTATCTTCTTTTGTGAAGTGCCTGTTCGTATCCTTTGCCCATTTTTTAATTGGGTTATTTGTCTTTTT